TTGAACCAGACAGAAGACATATTTTATTATTATGTTATTTCTTGGACACCTATCTATATTTAATATTTTATTAACATTGACCAGATTTTATTGTTATCTCGTTAAATGAAGACCTAAAAAAATGCTGCTTCATGTACCTACATATAATATAAAATTCATGTTCATTAATTGTTATTGTTGGATAATTTACATATCACTGTAATTAATACTTTTAAAGAATTTTTTTTTATTCGATTACGATCGTTTTTATTAAGTACTTAAAAGAATTGTAAACGAAAAAAAAAACAGGTACAATGTTAAATATTATTTTGGAACTATATAATTAAATCCTTAAAGTGATCACTGATCACTGTCGAAAGTTATCGTCATTGTCTCCTAAAGATTGTTTAGTGTTCATAATTGATACCTTCACTATATAATTATTCGCAGTCATTAAATTTTCAGATGACTCGAACGCTACTAGTTACGCAGACAGGAGACATGACTTATTTAGTGCCCATGTTGCGTTTCCATCCTTAATCTGCGTGGGCGCATATTTCTGAGAAAACATTTCTTGTTCACTGTACGTAATGCTGCTAAGAAAACAGAAGTAATAATGTTGGCCATACTTGTATGGTGAAGAACTCCGTAAATGAATCATCGCATATGCGTTCCTCGTATGAGCATAAAAAGAGGTTTGTCGAAAATGCGACTCGTTTAGAGTGCTCTGTACCCGCGGGTTACTGGTTGTATTCATCCCTTATTTATTTATGGTATGGAGAATGTATGAAGAATGTATAGTTTTTGTGATCCCATAACACAGCTCGCCCAGCGTCCAGCTCAGTACGATGCTACACAATAAATTCTTTAATTGACGAAATGCAGCGGCACGGCATTCCAAGCTGGATCGTTAGCTTTAATGCGAAAATACAAAATGGATTAATAATTGCAAATTTTTACTATTGTAAAATACACATTAAAATGCTTATTTCATTAAATAAACACTAAACGAGCATTAATCGAGTGATTATTTTATAATGTAGTAACATTATAAAACTATTATATTCTTATTCCAAAATTATAGTCCACAATTAGATTTGCTTTGTTAAAACTTGCATTAATTCAAATTAAATATTGTTACATGTAAATATAAACATTATTTATAGAAGTACTCATTTAGAAGTGGTTAATTAGGTACTAAGTACTCGTCTAAACACATATATATATAATTAAATACACATAATTATACTTAACAACTAAGTGTGGACGTGCCAGGTAATGTTCAAAGAAAGCTCACATTTACCTATAGGTATGAAAAGTTGAAAGTTTACCAAGGCATCGTACCTTAGTGTGCGAAAATTATGCGTTTATCTTTTAATAGGTAGCTAATATGAAGTAGTTAATATAATAAGCTCGTGTGATGGTAATTTTAGTAGGTAATATGGTAATGTTAATATCTCGCGAGAAAAATACCAGCCGCCAAGGCATGTTCGTTTTAATATTATCTAGACGTAATGAGTCGTTAGTTGCGGTCGATACTAGTTTCTCTTATCATCGATGATAAAACATGCGTAGATTTGAGCCACACCCTGCACTTTCTCCTGCGGGTACTCACTACACCTGCCGGGTGAGCGAGGTGAAGCTGCACAGCCTGTTCCGTCGCTAATGCCCGATTCAATATATTCTACGGTCCGGTTCACATTTATGGATATGTAGCTACGTGAGGTTATTGCATACGAGCCGGGTTAAATACACGCACGCGAAAGTTTGCCATAAACTAATAAACAAATGTTTTTAAGTCTAAGCGCGACTAGAGAATTAAAATTAATGTTTTTATCGGCTACCTTTCTAGGTTTTAATTAAGAGATTGATAATTGATACTTAGTTGCGAGAGGCAACGACCGCGGAGGATAAGCGCGGCAGGCGGGCGCACGCAACCCTGCCAGACGTGCGTGCCGCTCCGTTACGACACCTACACCAAATTTTTCCACATGCCCGAACAGCAGATAAGCTGCGAGTGACGCCAACGTGTTATTTATTAACGAACCGAATGATCGATAGTTGGACGCGTCACCGGACGTGGACGATAGACGTCGCCTTTCGAAACTCGTTGCCGCAGCCGACAGCCTGATCTTTTCATTGTAACTTTACAAGCTATCTTCATACGATAAATTGATACTACACTCAAATGAGCAATCCCATCCCTGTCAATACATATGTACATTGATGATAGAATCAGCAATTTGTTTTTTTAAATATTATTATTAAGGGTTCTCATTAACTATATATGTATATCTATTTAATATTATGTTTAATGTTTTTTTAGTAATGATAATGATATAGTTATAACAACCTTATCAAATATAACATTAATAAATGTCGTAACAGTTGAAACTATAGATATCATCAATCAGCATAGATAGAGTTGTGTGCGTTTACTATTAGATACGCGACTGAAGGAATAGTATTAGTGGAAAATTTTCTTTCGTCTTTTATCGTTATTAATCTTATTTCGACGTTATTTTTCATGTAATAAATAAATTATTATATTATACATACTCATCGTACATTACAGTTAGAAATAACCATCACATATAGAGATTTACAGCACCATGGATAATCACAAAATATAATAAAACACATGAAGCAATTTTAGGTGACTATTTAGGTTACAGTCCTGTTAAAATGTTGAATTTTCTATCTATTACTAAAATATTAATGGATGCTGTACTGCATCACCCTGTCAATACAATATTCCTGAGGTCCTTGAGGTGTATATGATGTTATTTGTATCTGCAGGTAATAGTTATTACGTTGTTTATCATAGTTACTAAACTCTTAGTCTCATTTGTGCCAAACTTCTTTGAACTTCGAGTTATATCGTTGTGAAACACATTCTCTCAAGATTAATAAATTGAAACATGTTTATCATATTATATTCAAATAATATTTTCTTATTGATGATGTTGGTTATCATAGAATATTTGCGTATTTTTGTTTTATTTTACGCCCCTATGTTAACTAAAATAAAACAGACATATAGTTTAGTTTCACTTTCATAAGTGTCGTCAATTTATTGTGTCACTTTTCATCAAGGGTACGCAACTCGTCTGAGAAACGGTCGTGCACTGAATGGCCGTGCCGAATGCATTGTTTGTGTAACCGAGACTCCTTCAACCCTTGCGCGGAGCTATCCGTTCCGCTCTAGCATACGTCACGTCCTCGTGACAGCTGTGCCAGATACTTTCTAATCGCTCTATTCAATAGACAACGGCAAACAAACAGACAACGAGTAGGCAACTTGCGAAATTCTAAATAGCTCGAACAATTGACAGCGATGAAAAGAGTAATCAATTAATTATTTATAGAGGTGCCAGCAAACAAGCGGTTTGTCAAATTGATTACGCAAATAGAGACGCTGCAAGCACGCATTTAATAGTTGTATAAGCTCATAATGTAAACATGAGCTTGTATGTTTACGTGTATCGGTTCGAGGCGAACGTGATAGGAAACGGTCGGAAATTCGAGGTTCAGCTGCGCAGGGCAGGTTAGACCAGTCCCGATGGCCTCGCAAGGACCCCAGCAAACCTGTTAGATTCGTTGCACGATTTTTACGTGCGCACCTACCGGAATTTCATTCACGTGGTGCACCCGCGCCGCCGCCCGGCCCCCTGCTCCACCGGCTGCCAGTTAACTCGTCAAATGACTCACGCTTCGGCTGGTTAAATGCCAGAAGCTGGCTTTTCCAGTTCTCTGATCCAATTCGCGTATTCTATTCTTATCTGATACCAAAGCAATACAGTATTTTCTATGTTATATTAGTTACAGATTTTTAAAAACCTTGAAAGATCATGATATGGAAGGACTTAGTTGCATAGATATATTCAGTTGAGACATTTAACAATCACAAGATTAGTATTTTGGAGTAAAAATCATGTGATATAGGTACCCTAGATAATGTGTATTTTTTTGCATACTTGGCTCCAATTATGGGTTTCTCTGTTACTTTCATTAAAATACAATTTTGTATAAAAGTATTATCAGTGCTATCTAGACAAATGCAAGAAAATTAATAAAACCTGTAATCAATCAACCTGCACAGTTAATCAAAGTAACGCTTTTAAAAAAATAACATGATCTTATGTATGTACTCGTAGATTATTGATATAGTGAACGATATTAGGTACGAAAGTAAGTTATTATATCGCACTAACCGTAGATGAAAATGTAGATAATGAAACAATATCTATTATATTATCTAATGTAAAGTGTCATGCTATTATAATGCTTAGATTGTTTTTTTTTTCAATGAGGAATGACCTCCCGAGATATAAACACGACCAGGAACAGGAATCAGGTAGAACTACTATCCGGTCAAACCCGTCCGACGCGTGCTTCCAACATTTTTTATTTATTTGTCTGCATCGTCGGATACCGCTGAGTGTGACGTCAGACGACCTAAACTGGTTAGTGAGGGAGCAGGGATTTGCCTCGTATCCTTCCGGTTCTGTGAGTCGTTTGGACCTGTTCTACATCAGGTTGCTCGGCAGCAGATGACCCAGCCCGCATGACGTATGACCGACCCGAAGAACTCTTATCAATCCACCCAAATATAACCGCTACTGACGCCTCTGCTCTGCAGTGCACGATCTCCGGTCTAATAATTGCTCATTTCACTCTCGAACCGGACACCTGTCTTGCTGACTCACGTCTCTGTGTACGCAACAATTAGCAAACGTAGCGTCGCATTATGCGCAGACGACCGCTGGTGGGTACCATCAAAGGTCAGTATCCGTACCAAAATGGTCACGCCTAATAACTGGTTCGGAAGTTGTACTCGGTCGACTCGTAAAACTACAGGCTTGGGATACCAGTATTTTACGCTATGTTTACTCGATTGATTTGATCAAGCGAATGAAAATTAATGTTTGAATAATACTATTTTGTTTCTCGAGAATTACTTATAATGTTTTATTAAAAGTTGTTTTAAGGATTTCAATAAATGTATTTTTTTTCAACAGGAGACGCAAAGAGGCAATGGAAGTGGGGGGAGAGTGGCGCGCGTACTATTCCAGTGGTGCAGAGCATCCATTAAGTGCAGCGACGTCGGCAGTACTCGGTGTGGCAGATGATACGCAACCCCAGCCCCTGGTGACCGAGTACTACAAACTACCACCCTTAGCCCAGGATTCACACCTCAGTTTGCATAAAGAGAATGCGAAACTCATTGATGTCTGGCCGTGAGTTCATGATTTAGTATTTCTATTTACTCACCCTATATGTGTAACTAGGTATTATTATCGAAAATTTTTATTATTTTAATTAATATTGTTTTATAGTAGGTTTTATACATATCTAAATAACATAACGTTTAGTTCTTTTATAATTTGATTATGTGTAGGTATATTTTAAAACTATTTATTGTTTTCGATAACGTCTTACTTGTTTTATGTAAAGACGTCCTGAATAGAATAAAACTAATATCTATGCAAATTAATTCTCGATTTTATAAAATATTCTTCAATAATAAATTTGAAAATAAGAAAACGATCGCGGAAAATCAATCGCCGATTCTCACGACCGTAGATCAAATTGAACATTCTTGTATCGGAGCAATTATTATTATAATCGGTGAATTTTGAGGCGCGGTGAATACAGAATGAATTCGCGTAAAATTTATATGTAAACTATGATAATAACTACGCGATCTTTGTAACGTGTACTTTTTATACAGTTACTAGCAGGGTTGTGTTCGTCGACTCTCACGGACGAATACACTGAGACAAGAAGCCGCGTGGCTTCCGGCCCTAACGAAAGGTGTAAGAATAACAAATAATAAAAATGTTAATGTTCCACTCAATAAATCATATGTGCTCATTTGAATACCTATAGCGGGATTAAAGAAATGGGAGATCGCAACTGCCGTGCATGATGAGATTCCTTTGTACCTGCTTTTATAGATTTCATTTGAATATTTTCGCAATTTTGCTAAAAAAAAAAAAAAACAAAACTACTGTAAATATACTAACTTGAATAATTTTATAATATTTTACGGATTTGAATTTTCTTTTGGTCGATAACGGAATGGAAATGATAAAACTTCCATAATGGATATACGCAATAATATATTGTATTAATATTATTTAGTTCAGCATACGTGTCATTTTTGCAATTGAAAAAATATAATAAAATAACTGTAATTAATTTTTTGGGAAAACCCGTTTTGTAAAATATAAAATGTGACTTAGGTTGAAATTGCTTTACAAAGTTGCATATAAGTTTGACTACTGTTCCCATAGAAACGTGACCCCGATCAAATTATGCTCGCTCTTTGAAAGAAGTTGTTAACAGCATCCTCTGAATAGTGGCGCAAAAGTGAGCAAACGCCGTATTACATTCTTAATACAAGGAGTGCATAATGTTAATTTGATCCTATACGGACCGTTTATATACGTTTATGGACGTGTTATTTTATTCCACGAACACTGTTATGAATGTAACTTGTTTGTAACCATAAAAATGTTAATATTAATGTATAACATTTCGAAATAAAAGTCTATAGGTATCTAAATAAGCCCTGTAATTGAGACGAAGTGAGTTGTAGGGTGTACACTATATATTCACTGTAACAAAGATAACATTTGAGGTGGTAAATAAAATCCTCCTACGTAGCACCGCACACGTTGATGTCACAGCAGAGGGTCCACGCGTGTCGGGATGCCAGTTGCTCTTGCTTCATCAAAGCTAGCATTGTGGAATGCGAAGTCGCAGGCGGTTGCATTTAGCTTGTCATCTTCGTCACTGTTTACGGGAGTGCATAAATATACAAATAATGACAATAGACGGATGTGGATGGAAGCGGCTCACATTGACAAGGACGGCCAGGACTTGTCTCGGCTTATTGTCGGCACGCGTCCCACGCGCCCGGTTCAACGTGCGCTGCTATTGCTCATTCATACATTCAAAATTATAACGAATGCTTCAACTCGCCCGCACCCATCCGAATGCGCTGTGTCTTCGAATGCGTTTGTATGCTAATCGTTCAGCGCCAGTGCATCGTCAGGTTTGGGGCACTATGTGTTTGTTGTCTAAATCGCTCGTATTATTTGAATTGAATGCTCGATAGATGTAGAAATGAACTAGTTCCGTCTGTATAGGTCCCTTCTAGATCCGTGCTCGTAGGCGTCGACGAGTTTCGTAAACGCATTGCGTAGTGCGCGGGCGCTGTTCGCCTTCTCTGCCGGGACTTCGGATAATATACCTATATAGTCGGTGATAGAAACGAAACGATGACTATAACTATTAATAGTTATCGGAGACTGTCGAATACTAATGTAAGGATTACCATAGAAACGCGCTGCGGGATGCCTACAGGGAGGGCCGCGCCCTCTTGACCCTGTCACTGTTCACACTTGCCACGCTAACGGTAAATCAGTTTCTCTGCACTTCAAATACGTACCTAAGTACACGTTAAGATATAAGATTTGAACGCTAAGTATATGCTAGGTGAAATAAGATTCAGTTTTTATTGATATCTTTTATGATACATATTATAGCAATATAATATGTACGAATATATTCATATGTGTTCAATAAAAAATATTTTTTTTAACTTAGAATGGCAAACAAGCTGACAACTCCACCTGATGAAAAGTGGTAACCGTCGCCTATAGACACGAACAGTACCATGGACAATAGAGTAATAATCCATGTGTTGTCTTTCCTGAGGATTGAGGTGTTATGCCTCTGTACCCTGTAAATTCATTGCCATATCTCACCCTTCAAGTCGAAACACAGCCGTACAAACACAATTACTTCACGGTAGAAACACGAATGGGACAGAGGTATCTAAGCAAACGATTTATATATGAAAATAAAGTTCAAAACAAGATAAACACACGATATGTAATATATAATTTATTAGCATGTCATGTACATAAGTGTAAGCGATATAAGTAAAAATTATTATAACTGTTAAAGTTGTTTAAAAAAAAATACATTGCTTAGTTTTTGGCAAGTGTTAACTTGGATCGCACATCGCTGGTGTCGTGATGGTTTAACAAAAACTCAGGGAGCTGGAACCGTGTGACCCATTTAGCGTTAGAACCGGTTTTTTCTTGGAGATACGTCTGTATTGTTAATGGTATCGTCGTTAATACCATTGAATTCCCTTGGAAATATCCAACCCTCTTACAAATATAATGCATAAAAAGATAGTAACATCGTTTTGTCCCTGACAGTCGTGGTCATCATGTAGCAAAATATGAAATCAGGGGTTTGACCATTCTTTCTTGACCATTGCTTTTTATATGAACTCATTCTATTGAGTCAACCGGATCCAGTATAGTCCTTTAAATAAATTCAATTTATACATAAATTTGCGAATTATTATTTAGAGCCATTTGATGGATGCTATTAACATTTATTTCGTTAGTGGAAGTGTATATTAGATACCTACTTAGGATTAAGGAAAATTTGCGGAAAATTAATTATTTGGTCGTATTATGTGTAATCAAATGATCATTTTAATGACATAGACAAATGGCGAAATCGATTTCAATTAAAGTTTTTGATAATGTATTAGTTCCGTGAGAAAAGTAGCAATAAACCTACATTTAGTCGAATGATATATTCAAATAGAATGGTTGCTCACATCCGCTGCAAGCACCTCCTTCATCTCATTTTATCGCCCGTTGATTCTAATCTATTCGTCAAACGGTGGATAAACTGTCGTCGCATGAGATTTTGTTTGCGATAACACCAAGCGTATATCTCATCATTTATTATGATTTTGAAGATTCGATGACTCTATATCGGTTCATGAATATTTATATGTTTTATTTGTAAAAAATATTAACATATCATAAATATAGATTACGCATTATGTACTTAGAATTATTGTAACTAATGTAAACGTGTACTCTATATAGTTAGATTATATTAATGTGGTTATCGTTGGTTACAGTACTTCTTATCAGTATCAATGGAAATATATTTTTCGTGGAGTATTTTTAGCGATTGTTAAAAGAAGGTTCTGAATTTCGCTTATACGCTTTTTTGTTGATCACTCGATCGAAATCGAGATCTGATTTTTTTTCATATTTTATAGAGCATAATCTTATTAAATAGTAAATATAGTTCTTCATAAAGTCTACTTGTACATCTAGCATATATCAATGTAGTTATATTTATTATTTTGTAGCATATAAAATTTTACACTCAAATTTTTGAGTGATTTGAAAAAATCACTAAATTAAATTCAACCATTGATCGGTTATAATATTTGCTAATATTCCTTTGTTTTATATATATGATATATTTTAATTTATTTTATTAAAATACATTAAATAAAAAACATATATAAATTAATAGGTGAATAAACATGTACTTACTTATTAATTTTCATATTTTACTTCATAGGTACAATATTTTTATATGTAGTCGAAATTTGTCTTGCAAAATATGTAATAAGTATATTGCCAATTCTTGCACAGTAAGTAATATACATAAATTTTCTTTAATTTTGTTCTCGTCCTTATCAAGAAATCTGAAAACTTGCACTTCAATGATCTCCTTTGTGATTCATGAATAAATAGTTTCGATAGATGTTACAATACGTAGGGTTGTTGCACCCCAGCATCGCATTGTCGAGATCTCATCATCTGTGAAAGGGTGTTAAGTAAACATTGCAAATAATTATAATGGCAATTGCATCCGAGAGGTGCCCCGATTCAACTTCGATAAGAAACTGCATATTTGCATGTAAAACGACGCACACGGTTATAGATGTGGTGCTTATTTTTGCCTTTTATTACTTGCAACTGTTATGGTAATTTTTTTGCAACATGACACTGATATCAGATTAGAGTTTCGGGAAAGTTTTGTGACAAGTTCGTTGCTCAATTTGTTAAATTCGATTGAACGTATCTATTTATATATTCGTGAATTTAGAGAATAGAAAGGTAATGTAACTATTTAATACAGATAGCCCGCGGTTTTACACTTGTGATATCGTGTTTCTATTTTAAATTAAAATTTTCAATAATTCATTCTTAGCAGATTTTGTTAGATGCTTACATTATAAAAATAAACTCTATTCCAAATTTCAGTTTCTTACGCTAAGTAGTTTTCGCTATATGCTGATTAGGGCAAACAATTTTATAAGTGTAGATTTTGATAATAATACATTTATATGACTAATTTTATTTTAATTAAACTTAAAATTAATGATTGTTAGTATAACTATATATATATATATATATATAGGTATACCAACAATCATAAATTTTAAGATTAATTAAATAAAGAAAATAATTTAGATAATATTAGAATGTATTTATCTAAAGTTTAATTACAATGTAACTGTTCTTATAAAACATTCAGAATGATTTCTATAATATCTCTATACTTGGCCATAATTGATGTATTGAGTAGAATAATAATTAAACTATTCATTGATATAATTGTTAGTATTACTTAGAATGCAAAATTTATGCGCAGATAGGTATATCAGTTCGCAATCGCGCACCCACTTCGGTCGCGTTATGACGTGCTGGGACTCAGCTGTCAGCAGAAATCGCTTTGTGTGGCGTTTTTGCAACTCCAACAATGAAAGACAAGCAAACAACGTATTGTGTGTACCGTGCACATATGAATAACGTTATCTAAGGACCTCGCCGGCGGCTCGTAGCACTGAATATCCGGATTATCACGAATTTAATTTGCATGTTATGCAACGGCAAATCTTGAACTTTATATCGATATGAAGCTGTTACTCATCTCATGATATTATTTTTTCAACTTCGGCCAATCATATGAGTGATTTCACACTCGTCACTTTCATTTTACAAATAACATGCATAAATTGCGAAGAATGAGCTGAGAAAGAATTATGATCGGACATGTTCGGTGGAGCGTCCAGCTCGCGGGAGGTCGCGCGTCCCGGCCAATTCGGACGCATGAAATAGTGCTGCGCGACTCGCTTATCTAAAATAAACATCTGAGCGCCAATGAAACATGCCTTCAATTATCATAAATCGGCGTGCACTGACATCGACCGACGAAAGCCGCGCCCCGCGCCACTTGCGGAGGTGGCTGCATTCACATGCAAACAAATCAAATTACTTTAATGTACCTACCAACCTACCTCCCTACCTAATTGCCTATGCAAACTTTGATATTTACCGTTTTGCGACGTAAACGAACAAACTTGATATAAAACGCTCCTTTGAACGCGATGGAATATTTCCAGCTAAAGCAACTATATTTGTTATATTATAATTTATTACACATTTACAAATAAATTGCGAACTTACTGTATTATCAAATTGATTTAAGCTTTGTTACAATTTATTTTACGATATCCATAGTAGCTTACGAAATCGAAATCGGTGTTAAATAATCTATTACAGCTATCGTGTAATTTTACGATAATTATTATAATTCCGTGTTTAGTAAATTATATGCCCATTATATTCTTAACAATTTCACATTTACATTAATTAATTTAATATATAAATGAATTAGCTTTTAAAATAGGTGCACTTATTACATCGTTATGGTAAAATTTAATAAATTAATATATATATTATAGTTAGCTACAGTTTATAAAATTGTACCTAAAAATTTAGGCAGGTAATTTAAATTTACAATAGGTATAATGTCACTGACAAAAAATATCTATTCGTTTATATGTAGAGTACTTGTCACTTAGAGAAATGTATGAGGCCCATCGTTTTATTTTAAGTAAATTTCAAATCAGTGAAAACAAGATACAATTAGCACTTTTGGTGTTGTGAATGATCGTCGGCAGCGGTTGTCACTTATCATAAGGTGAGCCGCATGCTCATTTGCCCCACGTGTTATATAAAAAAAAAAAAACTAAAAAAATATCATTTAATAATGCAATGTTTCATGTAAGTTTACTTAAATGGAAAATTACGTAGGTAAAACAATGTTTATGGTTATTCGATTATTTATAATATTCATCAGCACAATTAGGTAAAGAAAAGGTCCTATTTCATTAAACGTATCATTTACCTTTACATATTCAAGTACGTTATATACCTAAATGTTTGTATATTCAAGTTTTATTTATTGCTTATTAATATTATTAATATGAAAGTGAGTTTGCTTTTTGTTGATTCAAATCGTGAATAAAAGCTAGTAGTAAGCAACGAAGTTTTCTAATATTTTTAACATATTAAAAAATTTCACTGTAATGTTTATTTTTTTACAATTGCCGAAAAAAGGGGATACTATTATTATTATATTTAGTAAAATTGCGTATTAACAATGGAAGGGCAGTTCTTCAGATAAATAGCAGGAGTAGAATAACGAGAGCATAAAATTGTTAAAAAATATTTTACAGTCGGATACCTTGTGAATTTATTGTGTCTATTTATATTATATGTTTAAGTAGGTTTGTGTGTGTTCCATACATAATGCCGAAGAATTCTGAATCATTAAAAAAGAAAATATGATTCAATAACTATTAAGTCGTTATTGCAAACCCTATATGCGCATCGTCGCATGTATGCACACTGGTTCCAGAGAATCTTAACTTTTATATAGTGCCTAGATATACGACCTATCAGCGTGATCTATCATGATATGTCAGGCTGGTTGCATTGTATATCTGTTTCATCATCAAACCAGACTAAGTACATGTTCTGTAGCACTACTGTGTTACGAATGCGGTCAACGAAACCAATCGCGATGCCTATATTTCGACGATATTTATTCTATTTTCGTGCTTTTTCTTACAAATTCAACTCCTGTCTCCATTTATACAGCAGCATAGTCACAATTATTAATACATTTTATTCAGGTTTTTTAGTCATAAATGGAATCTGAGACTGGGCTTCATACGTTGTCATAACTTTTTAGGTATGCGGGGAATAGAACTTACCAATAAATTCTGACACGAAATTTTTGACAGAATTGTCTGCTTATCTGCTGGAATTAGTAATTTCTGCAAATGTAAATATTGTAACAAAAAGGATTAAAATATATGGATTATATGAAAAAAGGGTTAACTGAACGGTTTAGCAAATTAATTTTTTATTAATGTTCAGTAACGTAACCTAAAGTTTAGTTGTAATGGCCAAATTTGTTTAACTATGAATGCAAAGTAAACAAATTTAATTGAACGTGTCTAGGTACCTACTAGAATGCTTAGCACTATTTATTAAAATTTTAGTATTGAATCTTAATTAAATATTTTTTTTTTCAGTATAGATACTTAGTTCCAATTAGTTAATCTCGGCTTTTATATTGAGTATGTAGAATACCGTAACGAATGGTAATGACTACATTCCAATATCTCAACCATTTTAAGAATGTGTTACCAATTAAACATAAGGTCACACTTATATATTCCCTCATTTTCCCCAGTACTTAATATGCTGCTGTGTAAATGCCTACTATCCTGATTTTAACATTTTATTTTATTTATTTACTTAGAACTTAGTCATATGCACAACGTCACTGTTTATTGGATATAGTTTCTATCGATTACTTTTTACTAATATATCGATAAAAGTACATCGTTCATTATAAATATATCGTTATATATATTATATCGTTTATTAGGATAAGTTAATTTAAATTAGTAAAAGAATAAATAATTGATTAATTAAAACTATTAGAGTAACTTTAAAATTAAATTGAGTGAATTAAAAATCTTTTGTTAAGTATATCAAACCGTTAGCTTTACAATTAACAAACTGATAAAATTGATATCAATTATTGCGACTTCTTAACTTGTTATTTTCAATATTTTTAATGTATCTAATGTTTGTAGTGACAACTGAATTGAACTTAAAATGAAGTTCGTAGATATGCAATTAGCATTACAATCTTTAGGTAGATTAGTGGTTTTTGTTTAATGAGTCAGATGGGATATTAGTATTTAATGCTTTAAATATCATTAATACGTAGAAAATAATGTAAGGAAATTAATTTACCTTTCTTGAAAAAAATAGACGTTCGATATTTTGTTTTGATGGAGATGTTTCCAGAAATATCGAAAGTAATAAGTAAATAGAGAGTTTACTTAATGATTTGGCTTCAGAATTAGAAAAGGTAGTTGTAATAATATAGTAGTAACAATAATAAGACACAAAATACTCACATAGGTAGGTATATTTTAATTTTCTTAATAATGAATAAAAGGCAAATCATTATTTACTTAATTGAATTAAAGTGATAAAAATATAATTAAAATGTATGGCAAAAGAATGTTCGTAATATTGCGTGCAATGCCTGCATTATATTTGATATATCTACATACTTTCTTATATACTAACAACTAAGTACCTACTATAACAAGTTTGCTTATTTGTCGTATTTCGTTAGGTAGGTACTAAAGTTACCTATTTGTTCAATTTTGTTTACAAAGATTCAAATGTTTATTGTGTATCAAGTTTAATTAGCTAAATACCTACTATAATTATGTACTTGTGTGTTGCTATAATTACATCATTGTATCTATGTATTTGCATGTTAGTTACTTTGGATTCCACAACAAGTTATATGGTAATATGCAAATTATATACGTATGTGAGCTTGACTACCTAATTAATTACTTAATTATTTTTTTTACTTATTGTTATTTATACTCGTATTTACTGTTTAATTACTTATATAATAATAAATCACTATAAAGACAATAAAAATATGTGCTTCGAGAGAATAAACTATAATTTATTCAAAATGATGAAACAAAAAAAAAAAAAAACAATATCAAGTTAATGTACCTACATATAATACAATACTAACCCTTTTATTCAAAAAAACGTCAAACCTCCCATAAACCAATTTTAGCCAACTGTTTCGTCTCTTTTTTTGTACTAAATTTTTAAACTGAAATAAAGCGATAAAACAGTGTAATAGTTAATAAAGATTTGTAGAAGGTTTTAATTTTTAAATGACTTGAAAAGAAAAGATTATTATAAACTTATATAATATGGTTTATTAGTTATTATTTTTTATGTACTTTGATAGTGTAAGAAATATAGATAACGTATGACTGATAGTGTGATTGACGATGATATTGCGCGCGCACGGCGAGGTCGAGCGTAGAAATAGGTGCGCGCGCGCAGTGTCGCCAATCACGCCTATCTCCCCTCCGCAGGGCCGGCGGTGCACTGAAGGCGGCCAATGGCGCGCACGGGGCGGAGCTGAGCGAGCTCTCCGGCCTGCTCCACGCGGGGCTCGTGAAGCGCGAGCCTGAAGACCTGAGCCGCAAGGTGGTCGACGAGCCCGAGCCGCACGCGCTCAAGCCGCCGCGACATAAGGTGCGTCACACGTCCGCACGCTGCCGTCGCGCGCGCACGCACTCACACACTATCTTTACCGGTCACTCATGTATTATTTATCGCGGTTAGTGTACGATGCGCCGAGCAGCGCGCTCGCGACGCACTAGCCGCGCCCGCCTGCGCCCTAATCCGGCCGGTCAGTGCTGCCCGCCAAGTATCCGCCGATGCTGGCGATTCAGAAGGACCTTTACCGCATCCCGGAATATTTCCGCTTTCCTCGCTTTTCGTGAACGTGTGACATTCGAATAATCCTAGTGTACGTGAAGCTGTGAACTGTGATTTGACGCGGCATGTACGCGTCGACGTTGAGAAGCGGACAGTTGTCGTGGGAGAACGCGTGTAACAGACGCGTGTGTCCGCAGGTGGCGGTCGGTGAGCACAGCGAAGCGGCCTCGCCGTCCCCGGTGCCGTCGCGGGCCTCTTCGGCCGGCTCGCTGCTACCTGACGCTGCCATGTATGCAGCGCAGATGTTCGCGCCGCCTGGCACCCCAAGCCCTACTCCCTATGGTGAACAATATTCGCGTCAACCTGCGGCCTTCACCGGCGAACCTTATTATAGAGAGTACTTTGTCGCTGATGGTTACCAGCAAAGGGCTGCGCCGCCCTATGGAGATGCAGAGTCGGCTCCGCCTTCCGCCTTTGGTGACCGATATGCGGCACCTCGATATCACAGCAAAAGTGTGATCGCAGCCGCGGGCCTGACAGTGGATCTGCCATCACCTGACAGCGGCATTGGAGCGGATGCTGTCACTCCTCGCGATCATACTGCCGTTCAGCAGGTCGGTGCCACGACTACGACGGACATGGGCGCGGGCGGGCAGGCTTCATACACTCACAACACTTACTCGTAAACACACACCAACATTCAATAGCTTTATGTCAGTTGCGGAAATAATGATGCATCTACCTACTCATTGATTTTTCACTGTTCTTTATATCTTATTTTGTTTTCCTAATAATAACAAAAGATACGAACATCAATACCACATCTATTTTCAAACTTAAAAACGGATGATAATTCTTATATTGATTATCATTAATGCTGTAACAGCATGACAGCTGAAGCCCACCCGCGCTTACGTACGTCATTGTAACATAATCTAGAGTAAACAAAGGTTAAGGGATTAGTTTTAGTATATAATTAATATAAAAACTTATTTTTGTTAATTTACATATATCTAATTATCGTAACAAGACGCCTACTGGACTCCAACATGAAATAAGCAAATGAGCAATATATTCTAATAATGCATCATATTAGAATGCAAACGACAATAAGTATTGGATAAATTGCAGTTATGTAGGTAGAATAGACATAATGGCTAGGTTCCGTTAATTACTGCTCCATTGATGTTGGTTCAGACAATAGGTTTCAGACACCACGCGAGACCTTCGAGCAAATACATCAAACGCCCAGCATTCAACTTAAAATTTATGGGTTTACACATTAAAATAACAAATTGACATGACTATAATCAGGTTAAAGCTAAGTGGTTTTGAAGGACAGCTTGGCTTCAAGGCGCGGCGATCACGAGCAAAATAACACTACAACGATCTAGATACTTATCCTTTTGTTACATACTTATGTTAAGGGTATTTCTCTGATTTAGTGCAAATTTTACGAAATTGAGAGAAAAAAATATGTAGATTTTTTTTATATTCCTGTGAAAAAAACGTTAAAAGCATACTTTATTCATGCAATACATATGAAATTGTACCCTATATTTATAAAGATATCAATCAACGAATTTTTTACTGTGGAAGGTAATGAGAACATAGTTCTGTCACAATTCAAAATTCGTTTTTTTAGGACACAATCTTTAATTATAGATTACATGTTCTTCGGTATGTGTATATATATATATATATATATATATATATATATATATATATATATATATATATATATATATATATACGCACAAATAATATACACTTTTATACAGTGTAAATTATTTGTATTTTACATTACTTGGATGATTGGATGAAAAACAAATATATTTACTCGGGTTAAAGTAGCTATTCTATACTATAAATAGCTGTATTAGCTCTGTATAACTGAAGGAAATCGATGCCAATGAAATTGCGGATAATAAATTAGGATTATAATTAATAAGGATTCGAATTAATCATTCTAGTCGTTCCTCACGAATAAATTGCATATTAATTTAAAAGATGCGAATTATGTTTATGTCACCATTTAAACAAATTTAAAACAGTAATTACACACATCAATCATTCATTGAACGTAATTAAAAAATAATGGACCGCACCTTTGTTATTGATATATATTCATATCGTTTTATAGTATTTCAAATAATACACCTTCGCTCTTGTTACTGTTAACTATCTCAGTGACAAGCACATGTTCGATGCAGGCAGAGGAGAATATCATAAACATGATGTTTTAACAAATTCTTGGGAACTAATTTATTTTGTTGTAGTGAGTGTAGATATCATAATATAAAATGTAAATAATGTACATTCGTATTCCTTTTTATATACTTACAGCATTCCATTAAATAGTATGCTGTATAACCTTGAGCTGAAATTTTACTTTTTTACTTTGTTTCACTTGTCTCGAGAAGTATATTGAAGGTAATGAAATTTACAGATGTAAAATGTTTTCATTCATTAATTTAGCTCTATAACTGGTTATTCTACATGGAACATATCCATATGTAATTTATTAAAATAATTATTTGAAGGTCTTAGGTTACGTAGTTTCTTTAAAAATTAGACGAACATGTAATTTGCACTAAATCAGAGTAATACCCTTAAAGTTACTACCTGGATTAGTAGACACCTAGATTGGTAGCCTGTTTATAAATATCAAGTGTATTCATGCTAGTATACTTCGCGCAATAAATGTCTATAAAGTAAAAACATAATTAAATATTAGTTTAATAGTAAAACAAAGCGTATCATCATACGCATAATCCAGATTTAACGATTTATATCAGTTTTGTGCAATCAGCCCCAGAATTAAAAACCTATCTAATGACGTTGAAGCGTTATCAACGATGTTTTAATGTGGAACCATTATCATAAATTAGTGGCCAATTAGATTTAATTTATGGAAAATTGTGACGTAAAAAATAACTTCATTCCGTTTGTTTGTTGGTTTGTTCGTTGTTTTCCATTCATTCATACTCTTGGTTTTAAGTTTTTCCTTTCTGTTTCAAAATTTGATATAGTTATATGTTACGGTTAAATTAACAAAATAGGCTTACATTAAAATTTATCTCTGACGTAATTATATCCTACATTTGTGCTAACATACGTACGTACTACGTATGTACGTGCTAACATACATACATTTGTGCATAATAAACGCTATTATGTAGATTACAATTTTGTATCTACTTTCAAATGTATATTTTTAAACTTGACTATTAATTAGATTAAATTAGAATAAGTAATCGGACCACGTAAATTCACGTCATAATATATCTAATGATTTCATCATCGTCAATGTCTTCGTTGATATACTAGGTGAAATAGAAATCATCAGCATTCATTTAAGCGAGTGTTCTACCAGATAAATTGTAACTTTGCAAAAAACATGAGTTAATTAATGACAAAAATGAAACTTTCATACTGATATGACATGTTCAGCTACTAAGTTAATATTAACTATGTCTTGCGATTAGCGATGCTGAGGTACAGGCAATTATAAAAACATTTCAAGAGCCATACATTTCTCTAATACTTAATACTCTGTATTGATAAATAACTTCAACGCTAAACTAGGTAAAATGAAAGACGACGAGACGAGCATGGGGAACTTAGGTATCGGGTATCGAAATCTTAGGCGACTACAATTGTCTGACTTCAAATAGAAGGAGAAACTCCTTCTTTCAAAACCGCCACATAGAAAATCGACCTGGCTTACCCCGAAGGATACACAAAAAATTAAATAGACTTCATCATGACGACTAATCGCTATTTGTTCAATGACGTCTCAGTGTTCGACAAGTTGAAATTTACGCTCTGACCTTCGTATGTCCTTATCAATCTTTAGAACCTCGAGAGTTTCCAATTCGAATTGTCAAAAACGCTGTCAGCGTTTGGTGACGGTGGTACAGCGAGCGATATCAACGATAATTTAGTGGAAACTATCCAAGGAGTAGGAGCTAAATTTTGTAAGCTTTAACGTTAAAAAAAACCCAAAAAGTATCTGATCACACTCTAGATCTCTAGGAAATAGCGAGAATTATGTTTCCAATCTTTAACGTCTGCATCAGAATATAGGCAAATCTCCAAGTGTATACGGCATGACATACGCCAGTTTAATACTATATATATATTGAACAGGCAATGCAGTGGGATCAAGGCTCCAAAGATTAATAGATAGATATAGATGATCTCAATAGATTTGCCTATTGAGCGAAGCCAACTGACAAAGTTGAAGACCCACATCGGTAATATAATTTCCGACACATCTGACATTTTGGGTGACATTTAGAAGTTCTATGGACAGATGTACACAACGTCGTTAACGACGCATACTATCGCGAATAACTACCAAAGAGTGAAGTCACCCGATACCGACGATATCCCGTACGTCAGTTTGCAGGAGATTGAAATGGCTCTCAAACAGCTTAAAAATAGCAAGGCTCCGGGGGAATACGGAATAACAGCAGAGTTTTTGAGAATGGGTGGAAAACTGGTACTCGTATTCAGAGGCTATTTTATTTCAACATCCATAATGATGCTATGCCCGAGGTGTGTAACAAAAGTGTAGTGATCCTGTTCTTCAAGAAGGGTGACAATACCCTGATAAGAACGATAGACTGATATCCCTTCTAAATTACGTCTACGTATTGTTTTCGAGAGTCTTGCCCAGTCGTCTTACATGCAAATTCGACGACTTCCAACCATCTGAATAAGCTGGCTTCCAAAATGGCTTTAGCACTATAGATCACATACTTATGCTATGACAGATTATACTGAAAACCGAATATAATTTAATATAATATAAATATATAGTATAATCTGCCACTATGTCTGACGTTTGTGGACTATGAGAAAGCTTTTTATTTGGTTTAGACATGGGCGGTACTACAATCTTTCTAGCGATGTTAGATTGGCTGTAGATACGAGTATATCGAAGTCTTGATGCCCATGTACATGAAGGCTACAGAATCAAAGTTCTAATCCATCCCAGTGCAGAAAAGTGTAAGATAGGGTGACGTTATATCCTCGAAACCCTTCATAGTTGCATTGGAAGATGCTTTATAACTTCTGGACTGGAAAAAGTATGATATAAATATCAATGGCGAATACATCACTCACCTTCGATTTGCCGATGATATAGTAATCAGGGCGAAATCCCTTGAGGACTTCAATACTATACTCAATGACCTCAATAGTGCTTCCCAAAGGTCTTAAGATGAACATGGACAAGACTAAAATCTAAAAATAGTGCGTACTAAGTACATATTTATTTGCTAATCAACTGAAAAACTATTTTGCTATTAATGAATACAAACGACTAGTGATATGTAATAAGTCAATCACTGTTCTATCCATATACCGACAATTGTTTTCAGAACACTGAGTGTAGATACATCTTGTAATTTTTTTAAGAGTATCACTAATGTAGGCCTCCCCGCTACAATATATTTAATTTTCAGTTAGGCAGCTGTAATCTCGTTTATGTGAAATCTTATACGAGTATCTCTTACAATAAATATGACAGTGAAATTACTGTACAGGGTCTCATGTAATTCCAGGAGGGTCAATACTAAAAACATTGTCATACATAAAAATTTAAATGTATGTATGTATGTAATATTTTTACTATCAACTTAGTTACACTCGTATGATTTTTGTTAAAGATCTTAGGATATTTACCATATAACTTCTTTATAATCCGAAATATTATAGAACGATCCCTGTCTAACTGAAATAAGCACATGCCTAAAGATTGTTACTTATGACAAGCTATGGGAAGCCCTATGCTCAGCAGTAATTAATTAATAGGTAAAACAATAATGATGAAACTATGTAATAACAGTGTTTATTGATATCTTAATAATGAAGTACAATAAACGTAACATTATGTTACTGTACGTAGCAAAAATTTTTTATTTGCTAGACAAATTATTAAAATTTTTATTAATTCTGAATTTAATAAATTCATTCATTTAATAAATAATGTGGTAACAAAAATTTATACATTACAGTTTATACATTTTATGAATGGTTTTCTAAGTTTTTATCTATGGGTTCTGCAACACTTGGAACCACGATATATATAAGAGTAGATATATGATATGAGTGATATAGGTAAACAAACGAATTAATAAGTTTTCCTTCTTTTTAGTTAATTTTATGAAAATTCTGTTTATAATATATGTTTGAAAAACACAGGTAAAAATTAATCGATCGATCGATTTGAAAATCAATCGCATTTTCAATCTTATTTAAGATCGTTTTAAATAGATATGTAGGTAGTATCAATTATTATTGAGAAATATAAGGGTAATGTTTAACATTACCGATCGGCAATCGCATCTAATTACTTTACTAGGAATGATAGATAGTCGCAAGCATGTACTTTTTATTATAAGTTAGTATGAAAATGTTGGAGTTTAGTATCGATTTCGTGCCTTCCAAAATGTTCACCGAAAATCTTTTAACGTCTATTATAATAATTTCTTTGCAGTTAAGAAAACAATAATTATATCTATAAAATTTAAAATAAGTCATTGCAATCCTGGAGTGGTTTAGACCATGTTATTTAATCATACATCAGCATCATACATATTTTAAAATGATACGTGAAAATACTTGAGACTCATTCTACATTTCAGGGAATTATTATAATGTATTATAACATTTTGTATTTTGCATATTTTTATCGTATAATTTATTATATAATATATAGATATTATATTATGTTTTTTTACATATTAACACATACACACAATAGTAAATTAAGTGCATTACCTACATTTTATACACCAGTTGATACACCACCAAGAGATGAGATAGTTATAATATGATTAGTTACGATAATCATCGTAGCTTTAGAGAATTGTAATTATTTAATAAAATCCTGTATACCTATATCAAATGAAACCATTCTATTTAAAAGAAATATGAATCGATAAACGATAAAAATTTTTGAATTTCCGTAGTAATTAATCTTTTGGAAAGGTGTTTATATTCCCTGGTAGAATACTTCCCTTTCTGCCAGAGATTTTGATATTTTCAATTCCATTCTGTAAATTTCTAGCCTATAGTTTCTTTCTGCCTCTTTCTATATGTGGGTATACCGTATACAATTTAGTTTCTTTCCGCGCAGTCGTTCGACTACACCGTAATCTGCCAGCAGCCCGGTGTGGCGGAAGACGGCCGGGGTACACCCTCGGCTCACCACTCGCCTGCTCAACCTCCAAGAACGCGACCCTGGCACGATTTTGGTAGACAAAATGATGCGGACAAGATACAAATACCTAAGCTGTAAGTATCAATACTTTTATATAATGATATGAAATTAAAATGAAATTAATTTTTGTAAAAAAAAAAACAACTCTAATTTAATTTAAAGTTACAGCATTAGATAATATTATATAAATGTTAACGGTAAGATTATAAAAAAATTCCTAAGAAATATAGCGAAATACTCTCGTGCTTAAGCGATTTGTAACCTATTTGTGGACAATTTCATCATCATCGTCATCAGTGAGATAGTAGTACGAGGTCTGTCCGGAAAGTTCGTATAAAAGTGTTCTGGAATGCGAGAAAGAGGAGTGGGGAGGCCAGGTAAGCGCAGGACCCCTTCCTTATGTCCCTAACAATGCTTCAGTTCTGGTCTGACCGCCGTGCGGTGCGAACTGGCTTGTCACGCCATCTGTGAAGTTACCTCTTAACGAAACCCCGTCGGCATGGAGCCCGCTTCCGTTGAAGAGCAGCGCGTCGTAATCAAGTTTCTCTCGAAACTCGGCAAGAATGGCCGTGAAAGCAAAGAGTGGAAGACATCCGGGGAACCACGAACAAAAAAATCAAGAAAATCCCGCTCAAATGTCAAGACAATGTTGATTGTTTTTTTCGATGTTCGGGGGATTGTCCATCAAGAATTCGTCCCTCCAGGCCAGACAGTTGATGGAAAATTCTACGTCGATGTGCTCAGACGCCTCAAAGCTCGTGTGGCACGAGTTCGTCCAGAATTGGCGCGAGAGGGGCGTTGGATTCTTCACCACGACAATGCCCCTGCCCACACCTCTCTTGTTGTCCGTGAGTTTTTGAGTAAAAATTCCATTACGGTGACCGAACACCCCCTATTTGCCGGATTTGGCCCCGTGTGACTTCTTCTTGTTCCCAAAAACCAAATTGGTACTTCGGGGGCGGCATTTGGGGGACATAAATGAGATAAAAAAAGCTACGACGGGGCAGCTGAGAAACCTACAACCAGAGGACTTTCAAGGAGCCTTCTCACAGTGGAAACGGCGTTGGCACAAGTGCATTATGTCACAGGGGGAGTACTTTGAAGGGGATAAAATTGATTTACCTGAATAATTGTAAAATAAAATTTTTAAAAAACTTTTATACGTACTTTCCGGACAAACCTCGTATGCCTGCTTATATTGAATTACAATAAACTCTGCAATATATTATATTAAATACAATCGATTGGGTAACTACTGCACATAGTCGTAAATATAACTATTTTTATATTATTAATGTGTTCTTAAATATTAATGTTGTGATTTAAAATTCTATATATATTTTAAATACGACCGTGTCCAAACCGTAAACTCACTTATTTTACAGATTATGGTCGGAGATACACTAATATCTACACAAACATAATACACAATTCATTTAATAAAAATAAAATTATTCATCAATTTGTTATTCATATCATAGAGTTAAAGAAAAAATAATCCTGTTTGTAAAAATAAAAAAAAACAATGTCTTTTTTATTCGAAACTAAAGTCTGCAAAATAAAATTCTATGGTATTATTCACTAAAAGTAAAAAAAAAAAAATATTCGTATCGATAAGCTGCTCAATTTCAGCCAAATCTCCATCTGCAAATTCCTAGCTACTTTTCGATTGTATACTATATTAACCTCAAAAGTCACATTTCATAGTTTTTATGCTAAAACTTGTATCACTTAATTCTTTAACATTGGTTTCGATGTTTGTGTAGGTACATAGATTAGTGATTTCATAATACTTGGTTGGTTGTGCTCGCATGCCCGCTATGTGCAAGAACCTTTACTAAAAAGATTGACTATGTAAGCCACATCCGAGTACACCGACGCCAACAATAGATAAAATAATAGCCGCCTATGTAGACAATTAATTAATAATACTGGAGTCAAAGAGGTCGTCGTGACCGAAAACGTCTTACTTATTAGTAGTACTTTTGCTGCATTATTTCGTAAACAAAATTTCGTAATCAGTTAAATACTTGTACACTGCGAAAAACCGTACCTCTAAACGCTAACAAATATTTCAATTTCATTGAAATATTTCCGAAATAAATTTTCGATATCTTTTATTGCAAAGTGACTGTTTTTTTTTTTAAGTAAATTGTAGGTATATCAACAAGACATTATAAATATTATTGGCCTTATTATGTATCTATTAAGCTAGATTTTGATAAAATATGATTCCTAGAGCCATTAATATTTATGTTGATTCAATAGTTTAATATTAATATACGTATTTATCTGAAAAATCTGTAAAAACGGTATTTGGAATTTAATTTACATATTTTCCATATGTTATTCTATTTATAAAAGTATTATTTTGTATTCTTACGAATTCTGTATGAATATAAAATGGAACAAAACGTACAGTAAACTGTCGTAAATTGATAGCGTAAACATACAAAACAATTTTATCAAACCGTTTTCCTGTGTGTAACAATGTAATTTGTTAGTATGAGCAGCTAGGCACCAGCTAACATTTCTAGCGACTGTTGACCGACCACTTTGCACCTTCTGGGCTGTTATAGTGTACCCTTTTCTAAGTACGATGCTTTGTTCCGAACACCCATTCAAAGTAGATTCGAATTAACGTTCAGTTTGAGACGCTTAAATCAAATAATTTAACTATCGGATGTATATTTCAATAGTATTAAAATTTCAATAGTTCTTTAATATCATATTTATAATACTGACCCATTATAAAAATTTAATATGTATCTATGTTTATTAAATCGTATAAATTGTGAGACTTAAATTTAAATGTACAAGGCACAATTAAATATCTGAGGTTACTATTTTTGTCTAAAGTATATTAAAAAACCTAATTCTCTGAAAGATTACCATTTCAAACTTAACATATATTTGTTTAGTATATAGAATGAATAAATAATATGGCGTATCTAATAATTTATGATAAAGTTAAGTAAACACTTTGTAGTTATGTATAGGTAATGTCCTCCTTAATTGAGGAAGGCATTAATTACATTATTATTTTATTGGGCATTTAAGGCGTTACGCATATTTGTAATATTAGTCATGTTTGTGAGTTCATTTTCGTCATATTATATTAATTAAAAAAAACTTTTATCAAAAATTAAAGGACAATTTGGAGATTTATAGACAGATGAAATGTATAATTTTAGTATAACTACGTGTATATAATTGTGGATTTATTGTAATATTTTTATTTATTAACTTATTCAGCTTTGCTTCTTACTAATTACATTTGCTATTTTTACACAAGTCTAGTTAGTAATCATTCTAAATTTTTCGCATACAACATCTAATTTATATAATAATTACAGTGATAGTTCAGTACTTTACAGAAAATAAGTATACCCTAATGGCTCACACTGAATTTTTACATGATTTCTTGAATTTGACATTCGGTAACTCTTAATTGATTCAATATTTACTTTATAATCTCCATAACCTTTGAAGAATGTGTAGTTGCCATCTGTACATAATGTGGTATTATATTAGCACATATGGCATGTAGGTATAGTGCTCTAGGTTGCGTTCATGCAGTCATGTTTAAATTACACGAGCATTACTACTAAACTACTATCTGCGCATGACTCACTAATTGGCAAGTGTAATTACCAGTAGGTACATAAATAGATTAATATGTATTTATTTATTATTTACCTACACAATCATTAATAAAAAGAAGCTATTTTCAATATCTATGTTGTTAATTAGTTAATTTAACAACAAGTTATTATTATTACTTTTTATATGTATCTAATTTAACTGTATGTTTTTTTTAACCAATATTTGTCAAAAAAAAATATTTACTTACATGCAAACGTAACAAAGAGGAGTCCAGGTAAGCAGCTATATTTAAATAATACTTTTGTTTAAAACTCATATTGCAATATTGACAATTTTGTATTAACTAAATCAGAGTGTCTAAGAATGATCACTCACATATATTATTAAGAATCATTTTCTTTTGAAAAGAACTAACATACGTAAAATTTAAGACAGTTGACAATCGGTCTCTTAAACGAATCGTTAAAGAAACCGCGCAGGCGACACGGCGGAAGCATTCGTCGACATGATAAGTGCATTAGCATTATTATCTCAATAATTACTTGCTTGCATTTGGCCCAAATAGCTCGGTCGTTTCTACCGTCTTAAATTACCTCCGAAGCTGATACGCGTTCGATTACCAGCTCAGGCAGGCATCACCCTCTTATGAATCCATTCCGATGCCCTCACGAAATGTGTGGACTATTACTTACCGGCCAGTTGAGTACTTTACGAAGACCGCACGATGCCCGTTTATTTACTTGTCGAATACTCAAAGCAGGAATGAGCTTTTAAAAGGTAGTAACTTAATCAAGTGATGTGTGTGTATGTGGTTATCACTTCGAAACGTATTAGTTTTGAAGGCGCTCCCCTCGTTATCGAGAAATGAAATTTAAATTGACCTTAGATTGTCCATTATAATTATTTTTACGCATTATTCTTCTTGTTGTTATTGAAATTATTACAATTAATGGTCACAAATTTGTTTAGTCTAAATGTTCGAAATAAGGTAAAGTAAAAAGTAACAGCAGTGTTTTTTGCCCGTTCTTGTCAGTTGAAATTGCATTCCGAACTGGGCGGTAGTTTCATAAAAAATGACTATTTAAAAATGTTTATTAATAAGTTTACTTGAATAAATTATCATTATTAATATTATTATTAGTCCAAGTTCGACGTTCCGCCATATAATAATATTAAAATGCTAAAACCATTCTAAATTTTAAAAGTCAGTCTATAAATTACACATATTGTAGTTAATTTGCTTTCAAATTACTTGCTGTCATTAACTTTTTATATGTATATCAAACCCTCAATCGCACAAAAGTTTTTTAAATATCATATTATTAATTGTTTATCAGTTTTCTAAATCATATTCGATATACATTAATGTTTGAACTTAATTTTTCGTTTTCACGTTTCGTTTCTTATTCAAAAACTAGTTAAAGGCTATTTTTATATTTATTTAAGTCAATACTTAGCACAAAATCATCGACAAAAATTTACCACCACAGTAATAATATCTATTCTACATACAATTATACTTACCTGTAGTATTAGGATTATTGATTAAATTTAGTTTTTGTTCTATTATTGTTTTACTAATGTAAAATCTTTGTTATATATTAAAAAATATTAAAATAGGTACATATTTAGAAACTTTAATATTTTTATACTATTCGTAAATAGGTACCTCTTTTGTTTTACATACTAATTATAAATATAATATAACCAGATATTCAATATTTTCAATATTTCTATAACTGATCAGACTGCGTAAATAAATTAACCATAAAGAACATGTAGAGATGATCTAGTCGTATCAGTATTGTGTTCAAAGGCCAGAGGCACACGCCAATCAAAGCAGCGCTATTACTCTGGCTAAGCGTTCTCATTAACTTCTGTTGCCGCCTGACCGCCTGCCACGATACCTCAGTGCCTTTTATCTGCCATGAACTATCTCTTCTTGTAACCATTAACAGATAATGCATATATTCAATCTTATTAATGTACTTCGTTTTGTATTTGTAATATATTTAACTACGTCAATGTTGTTTTTTCTCATGAAGACTTTTTAATACATTTTATATACCATATTGTATTAAAAAATAACTGATCAGTTTAGATATATTTGTTACTGCTTTTTTTTTTTATAAAAAAATCCTCCTCTTTTTATTATCATCATCATCATATCTGCCTTTAATAGTTCACTGCTGAACATAAGCCTCCCTCTAGGAGGGTTTTGCCAGTAGTTGTCATGCTTGGCAGGTGGATTGGCAACCGCAGTTAGGTATTGAAGATGTTTTAAGAGGGACGCTGTTGCCTATCTCTTGCCCTCCTCTAGTCACCCCTTACGACACCCCCGAGAACGGAGGGGGTGGTGTATTCTATGTCGAGACCACACGGCACTTTTTTATATCTGTTGTCAAATACAATATTTATCTATTTTGTTTTAGAGGAGCTAACAGCGATTAAATCTAATTAGATAGATAGATAGATAGATAGATAGATACTCTTTATTGTTTCCTCCAAAAGATTACAATAGTAAACTTATTATAAATATAAATAATTACAAGAAATAATCACAATGAGAAAACAATAGGCGACCTTATCGCTAAGAGCGATCTCTTCCAGGCAACCTTTGGATGGAGAGGAGTAATTATAAACAATTTGGTAGGAGGCACGATAAAAAATTTTGTTAGTTCTAGATATGGGAGATGTAATACATATAATAATATAAAAAAATATCCCTACTCATTATTATATAATTAGGATACTAAGATACTGATTTACTACAGTAACCGTTACAAATTTGCGCGTACAATTCTTTGTGTAAATCTATTTGACGTGACGATTGCGTAGTATGTGAGTTTAAAGGTATCATAAATGTAGATATACTTATACCCGAAAATAAAATGGTTTTAGTGAATGACATCTTCTGAAATGCGCAAGAATACAAAGCATTGTGTCAGGCGAGACATTCGTCTCAGATACACAATGGTGCTTCAATTTCCATCAAGCAATTCGATGCAACTTGCGTGCGCCCGTTGCCAACCTATAACGATGCGCCAAGACCACTTTTTCAATCACCTATTTTTATTTCGCAGCTACCAAGATTCTCATGCATATGTTCATTGATGTAATTATTTTTTACTACTGCATACTACTTTACAAATTAAAATTTGTTTGTGCTAATTAAAACAAAGGACACATGTACAGCAGACCACATAAGGTCAGAAACATTTGTACATGAATATCAATATATTTGACAAAATTAAAAGTAGTTTTTAGTTAAACTTTTAGTTCGTTATTATTTTTAACGAATTACACGAATTGTTTTATTATCATTATAATATAGTGATGACTTTATTTTTTTAGCCTTAATCCCTACTAACTGTCTTTCGTATAAGAATAACTAAGGTCTGTGTCAAAAATTCAATTTAAATACCTGCATTTAGTCATTTAAGCTTAATTGCGTTATTAGCATTTGATTACTATTGGAAATACTCATATTTATTATATTAGTAGGTACATGGAACATCTACCAATAATACAAGCATATGGCCATTAATAGTGTATTGAGTTTATAATCAATATCTTTTAAAGTATCTAGCATGGAGATGTCATAAAGAAAATAATTTACTACTTTTTTGAATAGAAAAATAATAAAAAAATTCTCTCACGATTCGTAATCGATCTGTACAGATTTATCGCCACGAAGAGACTTATGTGTACTTCAATTTGGCACTTATTATAGAGTTTTGTTAGAAAAGACTAAGGGATAACTTTTTGTGTCTAATATAACTATCATAAAAAGTTTTGTTAATTTTCATTTTCAACTTTTTCTGGTTGGTCTGTATTGGTTTGAAACAAAGCCGGATTTATGCGCATCTAATTTGGCAGAGGAGCGTGCATCGCCGCTGGACGCCAGGGCCTCAGCCTCTTATCGCGGCATGCGTTTTTATTGCGAGCACTTTGTTGTCGCTACGTTCCGAGACTTTTTGCGCACTCATCAATTTCCTCGCCTGCTCGATTGATTTATTCATGAAAGGCCCTTGTCCTCACGCAGGAAGTACTTTTTTTCGGCTGTTGCGCCGCTAAAATTTGTAATGAAGCTCATTCGAAAACAATGTGTTATTTATTTCTGAAGATGAACTCACGTAATCGCCAGTAAATCTAGAGTAGAATCATAACATCAGTACTTAAACTGAAAAATAATGGAAAATTTTCAGCATATACGAAAAGTAAATGGTTGCGTATTTCAAATTCGTAATAGGCTATAGATAAGGACTGGTCGTCAAGAATAGTAAGTTAACAAAGGATAGTTGAAACGACAATAGAGAGCAACGTCGCAAATGTAAATTGTGCTTGGAATCACTTAGAGAGCATCAGATAGGCGTGCGTCGCTGCGACCGATCCGTCACTGTCGGTCTGCGTTTGCATTACACGGCTTTTATCTGAACGAGCTCGGTTTAAATCGCAAACATCAACAGGGCTGTTTACCAAATTGTTTTCAATAAAGCTTAAGTAATGGTGCAACCACAAAATGTAGTTATCGATACAGAACCGCGTAACTATCTGGAACTCCGGCTGAATTTATTAGCGGATTAAACATTTCATAACGATTTATAGCTTTTTATCGTGTTACATAAGTTATCACGGGGTACAATAGAACGAGTTGATAATGACTCCGCCGTTTCCTACTGTGGTTTTCTCTTAGTGCTTAGTAGTGGGCGTCGTCGCCTGAGATCGGCGCGGCGACAAGCAGCGGTGGACTGCGCGTGCAGCTGTGCTAACACGCCGGCGGCCCTGATGCACTAGCGCATAGCATGCTACTCGGGTGTACAGTGTCAATAACGAGTCTGGGCACGCGATGACCACTAAATTAGCGGGGTTTTCCTTCCGTCCAATCGTTAGCTCAGGAAATCGCGAGAAAACACAGTTTTTCATTGCGCACTACGAACTGGATCTCCACGCCTTTATGTAACGACGCCGCTGACAAGCTTTACTAGCAGCGCAATTAAGATTTCCACTTTTTGTACACTTTTATTGCTTTACTTCATGGAAACTTTATTGTCGAGAACGTGTATCCGCAGATAAATATCTCAAAGAAGAAATCGCACTTTTTCTAAATGTTTCACAAACCAGCTCTAATTGTGCATTTTATTCTCTGACAAACATCAACAAGTCACCTACTGGGCCATTCATAATAAATGTGTGCTTTTGGATGTTTATCTTCATCTAGAACATGGATAAGGTGTTGTATACATGTCATGTCAACACGTCTTAAGTATTTCGCAGTTAAATAAAAGTTGCCTCTCATTGTACGTTTCTCTGCAGGTTTTCCCCGTACGGATTTAAGTACCACCTGGAGACTGCGAGTAGCAGTTCGCAGAGGCGCGAAGATGATAGGATCACTTATATCAACAAGGGACAATTCTATGGTATCACCCTGGACTACACACATGATCCGGACAAACCTTTAAAAAATCAAACTGTTAAGGTAAGATCTTTTCTTAAAAAAAAACTAATTTTTTTAACATAGTTATTTATTAGTAAACTCATTCAATGATGTCAGTGCGATTTATTACTATAGGTATTCGATAAGAAATTTGAAAACGGAACTCGAAACTTAGTCCTCAGGAATGGCGAGGCATAATGAGGAGGGGTGGGAGGGATAATGGACAAAACAGTATACTTTGTTATGTCCATGGTACTGTTGATGTCTATAGGCGACGATTAACATTTTCCATCGGGTGGGCCGTCAGCTTGTTTGCCATTCTAAGTTGCAAAATAAATATAAAACAACCGATGGTACAGTTTTGTATGGCGTGCCTGTGTGGAGACCACTATCCTAATGACTTATTTCTGCCATAAATTGCAGTAATGCATGCGTTGTTGTTTGTAATCTAAAAAGTATGATAGTTAATGCATAAAAATAAAAACATATAATACTTTCGTCATTTGGAATGAAAGTAAAGTTTAATTTTGTCATAATTAATTACCTATAATATTTAGAACTTATCAAAATTAGGTAATTGTAATATATTATTCAAATTTTTATTATATTATTATTATATAGAAATATGCAATGATTACACATTCAATACTATAGAGCAGATAATACTTATAACATTTGTTGCTATTTTAAAATACTACTAGTATTTTTTAATACTATCCAATATTAACAAGTGTTCGTACATTTTTGTTAATACGGTAAAATAGTCGTTTATTTATTACCATTTGGCGCCCTAACGAGTTAATCAATAAACATAAAATGACTCGCAGATACTCAAAGATCGCATTGCATTATCATGAAGCTAATCTGTATCATATAAGATTATCTAGTCTATTTTCTCCTAATCTTAAACAACGTACAGTTTATGAATAGGTAATAAAGATTCAGAACTCTTTTAATGGTATTTAATATTGAATGGTCAAACTGTAGCTTGTACTTCGTATATCAATCGTAAACCGCGTCTGACTTCAAACGTCTCAATTTATAACCCGATACTAGTGACAACCGTTCGATAAAAATAACTTCTATGTAAGTAATGTATCTAAGTTTTTAGAGCGGAAACGTAATGGTCAATTGTTTTATAATGTAAACAGAAAAAATATACCTACATATATATACCTGCTTGCATGTATAATACTTGGGATCGTAAGTTTTTCTAAAATAATTCAAGGTATTATAAAAATCGAATTGAATTCAAATACTAGCGATCCACCTTAGCTTCGTATGGCTAGATAGATAGAAAGACAAATTAGTATTTTAATAGGCAAATTTTTGATAGTTTGAGTTACCTACATTATTTTAATTATTGTAGGGATCTCTAATTTTTTTTAATTATACATATCCTATGTTATTATAATACATTATTATCATATAATGAGCTATATAACTCACTATAGGTAAAAAAAAAATTAAAATCAGTTAACTAATTTTTGAGTTTATTCATTACAAACAAAAAAAAAGCATATTGGGGGATTGGAACGCAATTTATAAATGTAGATTATTTTGTTTAATTAATCATAAGTTCTACATACGAGTAGGTAGGTTCTTGTACAATTTAACGAATGGAACAAAACAATGCGTCATAAATATAGTAAGCAGTCAATTTTTTTCGGTTGACAAGTACAGTTATATTGTAATGCTACCCAATTTTTAAGTCATAGTATGCCCCCATTTATTTCATTTGTCGAATAACTGATCACACTATTTAAGCCTGTGTTTCTTCTGTGTTTGTTACCATTCCTAAGTTCTTAAAATCTCACTTCGTTTCAAAGAAATCTTAACACAACTATTAAATGCCCTCCGAAGCATGGAATGAATTAATATGGCACTGTGCCATTTTGTCTGTCGAAGGAATTCCAAAGTTGACCAAAGAGATAATATTATATTAATAATTGGTCAACTTCGATCAAAGGGAGTAATTACAGCTTAGTAAAATCATATAAATGGGATTGATGGTCTGAATATTTTTGATTTTAACGTCTTTAATATTTTTTTTCTACTGTCAAATGTATTACGGAAAATGTTTAATTTTATATCTACCTATTTCTATTCAGATTTTATTCATTGTATGAATAAACGGTGTCAGTACAGTGATTTATTCGTCACACATACGTTCCTCGAGTCAGTCCTTAACCGGTTGTCAACTGTTGTGATGGATTTCATCATATTTATCTATTGCTGTTATTTGCAACATCGTCTGCACATAATGATTGCTTACTTATTATTAATTACTAAAATTTTATTCTTTAAAGAAATGTTTTAGTCTTAATTGTAAAAAAATACTATTTTCACTATAATTGAAAACTTAATTTACTAAAATAAAAAAAAAGTAAAAAATAAGGGACAAGATGGATTTGTTTATAGTATAATATAACAAAATAAAGTAAGAAGTTTACGAGAGAACTTGAAAATAGCAACCGTAATGCTATTTTCAGTCTATCTCATGGGAATGAGGGTTAATTTGGCTTCTTAGAAGAAAAGTAAAGATATTTTAATGAGTGAGAATGAAATGGTTTCCCTGCCTGCTCTATTGGTATACGATAACGGGATTCCAGTGATAGATAATAGGAGAGGATTAAAGCAGGTCAGTTTGTCCCTCGTGTATTCAACAATAATTAACCATGATGATTTCCAGGGAGAATCGGAGATCGACTTGACAGGGTATATTGCAAGCAATAAAGCTGTTAGATCCTATTACTAACAATTCCTTTCTCCCGAAGGGTAGAGATGAAAAGAATAAATTTTAGACTCATATTATTGATGAATGTAAAGTAAATTTATACGCGATATGGAGGACACAAAAATGAACTGATAAAGAAAGAGTGACTATATCAAAATCAGAATTGAAGGCAAAAACATGCCGTGTCTCACTCAAGTGTTGGAAAAGGTCTAAAGAATGATGATAATACGAATTACATAACATCGTTAGTTGTATCATGTCTTCAATTAATTGTAAACAATATCAAAAATACTATCGCAATAAAACGCGAAGAACAAGACACTATAGCGTGACACGAATACACAATTATGTATATTGTGGGAAAATAGTGTTCTAGACAAAAGATTGATACAGCATTGATAGCCACGTGATGCGTGGAAATCGGAAATCCCTCTCGCATTATTGTTTCTTTACAACTTCCCGGGAAAAAAGAGACAGATCGTGTAGGTATTAAGTATAATATTTTTTTCGATCCATTGGATTTTCTAGAAAAACCGGAATAACCACATTCGGTAAACATGTTAATCTTGTATATTGTACCTAATTGTGTAGATAGCATTTAACTAATTTTGAGCTCATTAATTAAACAGTTTCCATATATTCTAAGATTTTAAAATTCTTAATCTAATTTGTTAGGTATTATGTGACAAGGATTGTGTTGTAACTTATGAAACGTAGTCGATATTCAATAGGATAATTTTATTTCCTTTTTCTTATACCCAGTTACATATTCGAACACGTTTTATCTTGATTCAATGGGTCTAGATCGGAATAATCAGAGATACAATGCGACATACGTTTGAAGGTATTATTAAGGTAGTAAGTGGGCCGCGGTCCAGCTCTGGCAGCGGGCAGCCGGCGCGCGGTGTTCTGCGGAGCGGCGCGCGGCGATGGCGTATCGCATTCAATACTCCAGTAGGTATAAAGCGAGCTTATCTCGCCGCAATCGAGTCCGCATTGTATGGCCGTGCCCGATAATTAAGACGACGCTTTTGACATTCGCCATATACGAACACAATGACCGCCCCAGGAGTCCGTGCCTCTGCAGGATAATATCGCTCCCTTTAAACAATAACCCGTATTTACGGTATTATGATAAAATAATTTCGATGTGGCAAACATTGTGTTTTCTTAATAGGCATTCTTTTATGGACTAATATGGTTACTGACTGTAATAAAGCACAATAAGTTCAGTATAAGCTTAAACATTCCACTTTTAGGTATAAGAAAGACATGTATTGTGAGCGCGTGATTAATTAATTATAACGAATTGATTTTTATGTGTGTTTATTATAAAAGTGCAAAAAATTGATAACTTTTTAATTATATTCGTAAACGATTTACAAACCGTGGTTGAAAATATTAACCACACACGCGAATCGAATACGTTTTGCGTGTCAGAAAGCGGTTAAGAAATTTTGGTAAATAGAGATTGGAAGTGAGGTTTGGGTCAGTCTGTGGTATGCATGGTGGGTTTGTAATTATCACTCGGCACCGCCCTTGTTTTTTGGAACAGCTTTGCATACGTCCGCGATGCTATCGCTTACACGGTCAGTCTACAGGACTAAGCACCATACACAGGCAAAATTAAGATTTTGTACCTAATTAAATACTTTAAACCCTGTTTAAAATAATGCAAGACATCTCCCCGCTTTCAAAGTTAAAATGTTCACACGATACAAAATAAATATTTGCATTATATTCAAATGACAAATGTAGTTTTAAAATGTAATCAAATGATGCGATAAAAAAGTTACCTAAATCCATTAAAACTAGTCATTTTGTATGAATAAATTTGTAAAAACACGATGAAAAAATCAATCAATCACAAAATATAGAGGCAATTAATCATCTCGCTAGGTAAGCGGTTCTGTTATTTGATATTCAACGGTCCATAAAGGGTTGCAACTTGTAAGTCGTATGTCTTCGTGCATAAAAATATAAAGTAAAAATTTTTAATGAGATCAGCTCTATCCCTCATTTATCACTGTTAAAATTTCGAGCATTTATAAATGGCATCGTCATATTAATAAAGACATCGCGAAGTTTTTACTGCTAAAAAATTTAACCCCCTAAGTATCCGAATTAAAGAGACTTCATAACAAAACATTGACACAGATCATTGTTTTCTTATAGATAATAATATAATTATGTCTATAATTATCGAATTTTTGTTACTTCTCTATGGACATTAAATATAACATGCACAAACAAGTCCCAAATCAATATCTCAAAACACATACACAGGTGCATAATTCATGGTTAA